TCAATTAATGAAATTTCTCCTGGAATTTGTTTTTCTGTTTATTGAGGTTAAAGTAGATGGGCATAAATTTGTTTGTTAAGCTTTGTGCAAAACAAGGAAGGAATCTCATCTCACCAACATCATTTAGTACTAAGTCACCAGTCTCTGTGCCTATCAACCTTCTCCACACTGCCCTATCTTCAAATGTAGCATGCTCTTCAACTTCTTCAATTGATGTCCCTCTCTTTTCAAGAGCATCCTTTATTCCATTTATCCATCTAATGATAGGTATGGCAAAATTAAAACCGAGCAAACCAAAGATTAAAATGAAGTATATAAAAAAAAACGTTCATGTAAGAAAATCATCAAAGATAAAAATGTGCACAACTGTTAAACATCAAGGTAAGAAATGTTGCACATCTGGAACTATTTAAAGTGAAATTGACCAAACTAACACAGAAAATGAGTGGAACTACCTGAAAGAGAACATAAGTAAAATAGCAGAAATGGTAAAAACAAAAGTGACATATAAATCTAAAAGAAAGAAAACATACTGGTGGAATGTAGAAGTGAAAGAAACAGTACAAAATAAAATGACAGCTTTTAAAAGATGGATGAAGATTAGAGGACAAAAATAGTTATATTAAGGCATGAACACATGAACAATACATGAAAAATAGGGCTAAGGAAGAATCCTGGAAAAAAAATTACAAATTATACAAGAGGACCTATTGAGAATGAAAGATCTAATACATAGCATAGCTAAAAACTATTCCAAAGGAGCATCTCCACCAATCCATGCAATTAATGATGCAGAGGGCATAGAGCTACTAAAGAGTACAGATATGAAGGAAGTATTTTGAAGATGTATTGAAAGTTGAAGATGCTGATGTGGATGTAAAAAACCATAGCGAGGAACTTGTTGAAGACATGGAAGATGAAGAAAGTGAAATCAGTATGGAAGAAACTAAAAAAACCAGTAAAAAGTATAAACAAATGATAAAGCTCACTTTTTAAACATTTTCTATGATGTAGAGCCAATGTGTCAGGATTTTGAATATGAATAGGGGCCGGTATTCTTTTACAGTACGTGTCTGTGACTTGTTGGTGATAAATTTGAACAATAAACAGACAGCACACAGTTCTTGTTTTAAAATAATGTATTCAAGATAAGTATAATTTGTGTGCAAAAATTCTTTACATTGTAGGATATCATAGTTGTATCTATAACTTTAAATAATTCTCTTTTGCTGCCAAAAGTCCACATTGGCTGATTCAATTACTTTAGAATCGAATTGACAAGATGAATTATTTTTCTCTACTCTGTTACTATTTGCTCTGTGATAAATTCACTTACGTTACTTCGTGGTTTACCACAGTTGTATCTTGAACTTTAAGTAATTGTTTTCTTTTTGTCAAGGTCCACACATGCGAATGGGTTCAGTTTCCTTAGAACATCCTTTGTTAACTGTGAAACTCACTTTAGATTATCGCCTGTTACAGCTAAACTAACAATCACACAGTCTAACTTCATTTTCATTAACTTAACTTTTTTCTGACTTAACTTTTTTCTGACTTAACTTCTTTTGTTGATTACCACAATTGTATCCAGAGGTTTAAATAATTGTCTCTTTGTTTTGTCAAAACTCCACATATGCTGGTTCAGTAACTTTGGAACCCAATTGACAAGATAATTTTTTTTCCCTATCTTTGTCATTACAATACAGCTGTGAAACACACTGTAGAAATCACCCGTTAAGGCTAATCATTCACATTCCAGCTAACTTCATGTTTTCTGACTTTACTTTTTTTTGGTTACCACAGTTCTATCCAGAGCTTTAAATAATTGTCTTTTTTTTTCTTCGTCAAAAGACTACACAGGCTGATTCAGTTACTTTAGAATCCAACTGATAACACTAATTATTTTTCCTATCTCAGTTGTTACGATACAACTGTGAAACACATTATAAAAATCACCTATAAAGGCTAACTTCACATTTTCTTTCACTAACTAACTTTTTTCTGCACTGAACTTCACTTTACTTGTGCTCGCTTAGTTGCATGTATATATACATTGTCAAGCTGAGGCCTCAAAATTTCTACAAACTATGAGATGCTATGATGTAACAATACTCACATTGTGAGAAAAACTTAGAGGTATCGAGAATAATGACATCAAAAATACTACAACAGTTGAACTATACACAATGTACAATCTTACTGCGTTACATAACAATATTTATTATAACTATTTAAAATAATTAACTTTTAACACTCTTGTTATAAAAACTAAATAATCATTAAATATTAGATCGCTAAATGAACTAAATAATAACTCTTACACAAAACAGTTTTGTATATCCAACACAGTAATATTAGAATGTGTGTGTGTGTTTGTTTGTTCTTTTTTTAACAGTATGGTATACAGTTCAATAATATATATGTTTTAATGTGATACACAACCAGCAGTTAAAATGTAAGCTTATAAACATGTGTTAAAGTTTTAATAAAACTAAGTTTTCAGACTTGATTAGTGAAAATTCTTTTCTTTTTTTAATTCTCCAATAATTTATGAAAAACACTTAAAGCATGAAATATTTGTACATTCTATGTATTAGTAAGAAGTGCAAACATATGGTTTTTAAATGACTGTTCAGACTGTCCCATATGTGTGCTTTGAATGTTCTTAGCAATTCTTCTCATAAGACATAAACTTAAATGGTCTGAGGTTGTATTATAACACTGAATACTATCTTCTCTTTACCTGGTTCATAAAGTGAATAATGTACCAGTTATAAACAAATACTTGTAATGGTTTGATATATATGATAACACTGAAGACTTACTACTTTTTACGTGATTCATAAAGTAAGTAATGTACCACTTATAAAATAAAAACTTAAAATGGTTTGACATAGTATGGTGTACTGAAGAGTAACATACTTCTACTTGCCTGATTCATAAGTTTCTTCTGAAGTTAATATTTACCTGATGTGCATTATCCTGTAAATTGTTCTAAATTGACTTGTTATACCTAATGTACAACATCCTGTAAGTTCTAAACTTATGAAATGGCCTTCTTGAGATAGAATATCCTGTATGTTGTAAAATGATGATTGCTCTGACATATGTATAATATTCTTTAAGTGGTTATTTACAAGTTATTCTAACTATTGTAGAACATCTTGTAAGTTGTGGGTTTTTAAAGCATATTTACAAAACTTAAGTAGGAAATTGTGTTTTCTTTTGTTTTTCTCATTATCAACAGAAATTGGCTTTATACTAAGAGTAGAATTATGTGGACTGGTGTACTAACAGTTTTGCATCATTTGTTTACACATGTAGCCTTTCTCCTTCAAATAATTTTCATATAAAAACTTTGCTTAAATTTGTACAGATTTCAATGTTTATTTTAAATATTTTTTATAGTCTAATCACTTGCATATGTATTTTTTGCTGGTATGACTCGTAAAAGTGTTTTGCTGTGTCTGTTTCAGAAGATAGACACTATTTTATCATTGTTTTCATATCTCACACTTTTTTTGTTTTGTCTCTTGCATAAGATGTTAACTCTTCTATCACTTGTACACATACTTTGTGCTTCTCTCACTCGAGGCTTTTAGTCAGAAACTGTTCTTCTGTCTTTTTGGATGGGCAGAAGCTTGAACAGGTGGAAAAGTATGATATCAATTTCAATAATGGTGTGCTTGCTAAGAGAGACAGTCCAATCCCATTGTTCAATTAGAGTAACCTACGAGTTTATGATAGATGATGTGGTTTACCTGCTTTCTTTATATTCTCATACTTCAAAATTAGAAACAACTCGCACAAATATCCCTTGAACAGTTTTGCATGAAATTCATCAAACAACAACATACAATAATTTTTTTTCAATATTTTACAATTTCTTATTGTGAAATTTCCAACGCGTGTTTTGAGACACTGTTGTGAAAAAACACACTAAAAATCCTTGTTTTCATCTTTGAATTTTTGTATCATTGACCCATTTTATATATTCATTCAGTTTTAACTTGATTGATATGTATGAACATATTTCTTTTGATACTTTATTTTGCCAGTTAAATCATAAAAACATGGCAGAAGCTGGTAAAGAACTATCAGTGACCCTTGACCTCTTTGTCAAAATTGCATACCATTACTTTTGTCAGGCTAGGTAATATTTTTGCTAACAATACTCTTGGTCAAGATTACTTATATCTAACAAATATAGCTTCTTTTCATTAAATTATAGGCTAATTTATTCATGTACATTATTTGAATACAATATATTAAAACTTAAAAATAATGTTCAATAAGTAAGGATTTGAGTAATCATAATATTTTGCCAACACCTATCATACAGTTGTTAAGTATAAGCTGTGGACTATCAACATTTAAAAGTTCGACTGTAATGATGAACTTAATCCTTTTTAAACTAGAACAGAAAGATACGCAACTAGAATAAATGTCCGTAAAGATATGATTTTTGATTTTGTTGTTTACCTGCTAAAAAATGGAAGAAGGTAAGAACCATTGAATGTAAAAATTTTACTAAATCCCTATCAAAAATGCATCTCAGAGCATAATTTAAAAACTTTTTTGGTGGAGCTTGCCCGACACTTTCTTGCAAGATTTGAATCTTGGGTGCTACTCTTATTTAAAAAATTTGGAAGAGCAATTTACAAGTCTGAACTCCCTCACTTTTTCCATATATTTTTTTGCTTTTGTAGTGTGTATTTATGCAATTTTTATTCTACTTTAAACATCTCTCAGTTTCTTTTTTTATGTATTTTTTTCTTGTATGATATGTTGAGATATTTTGATAAATTATGATAAAATCATGAATTAAAGCTTATAGCAACAAGATATTTTAATTATAAGTTGACTTCTTGTCAAATATATAAAGAAATCACTTTTTGTATACAATGATTGTAAACATACATACATGTGGTTTTCTATAAAGAAATCAATTTTGTACACTCTCAGAACTCTGTATTAAAGTCCCTTTGTTTTCTCTTCAGCCCAATGGCCATGAAGAAATCCAGGGTTTAGTAACCATCAGAATGAAAGCAGATGAGCAAGGAAGGTTTGGGTTCAATGTCAAAGTAAGTACATTATAGGATTAAGACATATGTAGAGAAGGTGTACTTTTTAATGAAATATCAAACCATCCCCTACCACTATATCACATAGATGTATTCTAGTATGCGTTTAAGATGTATAGTGATGAATGATTTAAATTTAATGTTGTCTGCAATAACCAAATAATGTGTATAACTTAACAAAAATAATGAAATAAGTTATTTTAAACTAAAAATAAAAGAAATTTAGTAATAGGTGTATGCACAGTAATTGAATAATGCACAATATCTAAGGAATTTGTTTTACTGTACTCATAAATATATAGATTTTACAGCAAAACAATGTAGTAAATAAAGATTGCACAAGATAACATCTGAGAATTGAATACACAGTAAATTCAAAGGAATTTATCTGAAATTATGGTGAACTTCCATCAAAGGAACACACATTTTAAGAGGGTTGAGATAAAATAAATGTTTACCCAACCTGTTTAAATTTTAACAGAACTTATCATCTTCTAAGAAAATGTAAATAAAGTGATATTCCGATATTCTGCTCACAAGATTAGCTATTCTCGTCCAGTGCTTCCCTCTATATCAAACTTTTTTCTTTATTCGTGCCACAAGCCTTCTGCTCCCCACTGTTGGAATCACTTGATTCCAACATGTTGTTCATACAAATCGTCATGCGTCACTTCTCTACTAATAGGAGCATGATGCATGTGACTCCCTCCATATTCTCCTACCGAACTATCACTTTTTGTTTGGCTTGGATGTGTTCCTTTGATTGTTTCAAGTTCATCTTTAGTATATTCGTTTAAATTACTTTCAAGTTTAGTAAGACTGTTTCTTCACTTTACTTTAATCCCAGTTTATTACATTTGCATTATTATTAATAATTTCGGTTTTGGTTGACTATTCTTGATTATGAATTCTGAAGTTCATGTTACCACTTTGGGAGTCACACCTGTGACTAGTGCCCAGAAAACATAAAAAAATGCATTATACTATCAATATCGCGCAACAATCATGAACTTGATAAGACACTACATGACATGGTATGACTATGGGCTCTTTTGGGACTGGCTTTTTACATGAATATGCTTAAATTAACATCTCAGATGCAACTTCTGTAGCAACTAAAAACATCTATTGGGGCTAACATCAGGCTTAAATGAATATTTTCATCCAATTGACACATTTTACTGGCATCAATTGGAGGCAAAAATTAGGGACCTGTTTACTGTTAACACAGAAAATGAAGAAATCTTACAATTAAATGAATCAGAAGTGGATTCATTAATTGAACTTTTCTGTGACACCATTTTGAAACAGCATCTTGATAAACTCTTCTTGATTAATTTTGGCAGAATAAATTTGCAGAGTTACATGAAAAAGTGGTCAGATACCTAATGCCTTTTGTTATGATATATAACTGTGAAACTTGCTTCTTGCCTTTAGTTTTCTTAAAAAACAAGTATAGAAATAGATTGAATGTTGAACCAGACTTGAGGGTTAAATTAACTTCCTTTCCTCTTGATCTAAAGTTGTTATGTAATAACAAATATCATCATCCTTCACATTAAAAAATTTTCTTTTTCCTGATTCTTAATGTTGTAAGATTGAATAAACAGTGAAATTTAATTTCTAATTCTTAATGTTGTAAGATTGAATAAACAGTGAAATACAATTTCTTCCATTTATTTTCATGGTATCATAAATATGCATATTTAATGCAGTAAAATCGTAATTTACAATTTACCATGTGGACTTTGTGTGTACATGCATGTACCTATCTATACAAGACGGTCCACAAAAAATGAGAATGTAAAACACCTGATTCCTGGGTCTGTAAAGTTTGGGAAATGCTGCCTTCTCCTTTTAGCATGTGGATGTTGAAGGTCTGATTTTTTGCCATTGAAGTTTCATGTATGCTTTACCACCCTATCTATCTTCTCCTTTATCCAGATCATTCCTTCCTCCCAAAGACTTCAGTGGCCAGGGAGGGTAACTTCTTTTCACCTATTTCCCCTTCCTTCTATTTCTCATTTCTACCCTTGTTTTGATCTGGATAGACTTTTATGTCCAGTCTGTACACTTTGTTGCTATGTTGCTCGCACAGCTTTTTTCCATGGTACTCAGTCCCGACTCTTTATCCCATGGTAGTCTTCCTTTCTTCTTGATCTATCCCCATCTACCCTCATCACTTGGGTTGAACATTTGATTCAATTGGCTTATTCCTCCTTGTCTTCTTCCCACCAGAATTTGTTCAGGGTGTCTTTTCATTAGATTCAACACCTCACCTTTTCCCTCACATCTCATCTTCATCAGCCAATCGAGGAAATCATACAATCAGGCATATGGATTACATCTAATATATTCATCTCCCATTAGTTACACCATATCGTGGTTTTTCTTCATCGGGTTTTCGTCTTCCAACTGTGATCATTCTTCAAGCTTCTGTGTGAATTTGATTGGGTAAGTATACATTCATAAATTCTTTTCATTTCAGAGGCCCTTGCTTCATTTATTCTTTATAGGGATCCTGTTCTGTGGCGAGCGGTGCCCAATCAGAAATCTGCACTTTACAGCCGTGTTGACCTTCACTTTAATTTCCATGGCTTTGCAATGCTCATGGTTGAAATGGGCTGTTCTACAATATCTCGTGCAGATGAAGAATCTCGCGATGTAATTACTTCATAAGCTTGTCTGTTCTGGACTGTACCACGTATGGACTGCATGGGGAAAAAAAGGGAGTAACTGCCCATCCCTGTCATGCCTTCTATTGAATAAATCAGTATGGTCTGCTTTTCAAAATAGGGTTTCGTGGTCATCCATTGCACTGTCTCAGGTGATAACTTTCCTCTGGGCTTTCCAAGCATTCTCACCCCCTTTCTTCTAGTGGAGTATGGGAATCCTTACCACTTTCCAGTTCTAAGCTGCTGGGGTGGTCGACCATGGAGTTACCCTCCTGAATGGGTTTGTCATAAAGATGGCTATAACCATTCAGTGCAGAGTAGGACAGTGGTGTTCTGCAGGTGCAGATGATGTGATATCCTCCACTATGCATTATATAATCACTAAGGAGTGAGACATCAAATTGCAGTTCACCCCTTCGATTGGGAGCCCTCATCATATCCTCTTGTGGATGTCAGTACCTTGTGGTTGGGTTTTAGATTTAGAATAGAACCAATCAACATCAGTCCTCACACATGTTTGTGGTTGTCTAAATTCCTCCCTCTTTCTGTGTTGTGGGTCACAGTGGAAAGAAGGGGAATTGTTCCAGCTCTGTCCTTTTTGCTATCCCTCATGTATCTTATTCAGAGAATGTTATTGCTTTTTGGATGTTTCTGGTCGGTTTTGCTGTTGGGGGAGTTGATTTATATTTAATAGACATCTTTTCGATACCGGATGTCATGTCCCCGGATCGATATATCAAAGCTAACACGTGTCATGTTCTGGAGTTTGAGTAGTTCTAGATTCTTTTCAGTCTCTTGAGGGAAGACTGTATGATCCTGATCCTACCCCTGCGTAGATGTCAGTTCACAGTGGCATGGGTTTTGGATGTAGTTGACTTACCAAGTATGGTTCATCATGCCCTAGCCACTTTACACCTAGGTGCACATCCATTGATTTACCTACTGTCATACTTTGTGAGATTAAGTTCCATATATTTTTCAGGGTTAGGATCACTATACTGCCTTAATTCTCTCCCACTTGAGTGTGCTCCTCTCTTTTTCCACCCCTATCTCCTACACACTTGATCTGACTCTCATTTCCAGGGGTATTTTTTGGAAGCTTTCCTGGTGGTTCTTCTGTGATTACCTCACACTGGTTCTTCCATGTAATCATTGTGGGATTCTAGTTAATCTTGTGAGTGGAGGAAAATACCATATCAGAAGCTATTATTTTCTATACTGAAAATGTATTTCTAATGGGTACTTCCCTCCACTTATACTTCACTTTTCCTCTGGTGCTTACATCTCTGCCAAACTTCGAAGTGATAGTTTGGTAGAAGCGTATATAGGGAGTCACGTATGTCATGCTCCTATTGGTGGAGAAGTGGCACATGATAATTTGCATGAAAGACATGTTGCAATCATTTTATTCCAATGGGGGGGGGAAGGCTTGTGACATGCATAAAGAAAAAGTTTGCATATAGAGGGTAGCACTGGGTGTGAATAGCTAATCTTGTGAGTGGGAGAAAAGAAAAGGAATCTTTAACATGTATATACAATCATTATACAGTTGGTCCACTGTATAATGTCACTTGATACATGAAAGTGAAGATTGAGAATTTGTTTAAATATTTCTTTTTTAAATTAAGAAATTAAACCTTATTTAGAATTAAAATATGAATTAATAACTACATTTTTATGCTAAGTTTATTGACATAGATTAAAAGTAAAGTAGTTTAATTAAATTTTGAATGTAACTTAAAAAGCATTATGACATGCACACTTTTATCTACGTGTATCAAAAGAGTTCAATTATAATAGTGATAGGACATTGTTCGATTTGTGTGTATTATTGTTTTGTATTCTAAGTTGAATATTTGAAATAAATAAAAAATTCAGTAAAGTACTAATGACAACCCTAGTAAAAATTTGGGTTATCTTTTATCAGCACCTTGATTCTTTGTTTGCAAAAATACAGGCTCCATATGTAAGCACAAAATTTCTTTTTCTTTATGTTTATTTTTATATATTGTTATAAATGTAACCAAAATATAAAAATTAGAAGCTTATTAAGATAGATAAATAAAAAGACAGTAAATACATTTATTTGCTAGCTATGCATTCAAAAATTTAATACCATAACTTTGGCTTTGCATTCTCTGTGTGATTTTTAGCTTCTTAAGCAGGTTCAAAGAGCAGTAAAATTACATTAAAACAGATTTATACTGTCATAAGCATTATATTGTTTAATGGGCTACTTAGAGTTATTAAGTAGTAGTTTCAAGGTCAGTCAAATGGGTCAAATTCATATTGTGTAAGAGAAAATAAAATAAAAGATGAAATATACAGTTTTACTGAAAAAACCTTTTGGTATTCATTTCGGAGGTTATGCAAATTAAATTTGATAACTGTAGGATGAAAAAAGGTATTTAAACCTTAACATGAAAATTGCCTTGCACTCAAACAAGTCAGAGTTTGAGTCAGACTTTAACTCCACAAATTTACAGTCAAATCTTTATTAAAAGTATTTAATTAAAAAAATGAAAGTTATTTTGTACAACAGACTTTTAATGTTTGCTAAAAGCTTGCCAAATTTCATAAAGATACATTTACTACATTAAAAGTTACAGTGTGTATAGTTTCATGGTTACTGGTTGTAAGGTTGGTCAAAGTGATCAAGTCTATATAGAGAAGATTAATTTTTGAAAAGTTGAGCATGTTAAGGTGATATATACTAAAGGACAACTTACAAAAAATGTTGATGAATTTGAGTCTTAATATAAACAATTTTTTCCTTTCATCAGTTCTACAAAGAGAGACACTTTCATTTTACAGCTACTACTTAGAGGGTAAAACTAAGAGTACAAGAACCCCAGTGTAGTTTGATAGATGTGGATAATAATATAATGTGGGTATGAAAGAGCTCATAATACCCAAATTATGTCTGGGAACAAAATGCAGGTGATAATTAGATAAGTAGTCCTGAGCTTTTAGGCACCTAGTTTAGAGTTTTATCTCATCAGTTTTTTATTTATACATATAATTGAAAGGGTGGAGCAGATCAGAATCTACCAATCCTGGTGTCAAGAGTGGCCCCTAATACTCCTGCAGACACTTGCCTACCAAGGTTAAATGAAGGAGATCAAGTGCTTCTTATCAACAATAAAGATGTTGCAGGGCTCACACATGATCAAGTAAGTAGCATGTCAGCACTAAAGATGTTCCTGACCTACACATGATAAAGTAGGTTACTAATAAACATAGATAATTTGACAAATGATCAAATAAGTTCAAAAGAAAGTTTGCAGGATAGACTCATGATCAAGCAAGTTATTACTGAACACAAGAGAGTTTCAGGACAAACTCATGATCAAGTAAATTGTTACTCTTGAGATTGGGAAGACGAAATATGTTGCTGATTAACAACAGAAATGTAGTAGGATAAACAAATAAATAAGCAAGAGAAGTTCGGTCAACATTGTGGTCAAGTAATTTATTACTCAACACCTGAAATATGGTAGGATGGAGAGATGATCAATCATTAAAGTTGCTAATCACCACTAGAAATGTGGAAGGATAAACAAATAAATTGTCAAAACTGGGAAAAGTCTGTGAATTTGATGTGATTCAGTTATGCTGATAGGGCACAGGAGTCAAAAAATGAATTATCATTTATGCCAAAATTTCCATACAAGTTGCTCTTGGTAGACTTTGCATGTCAATATTTGTATTATATGCCTAAACAGTGTTTTGTCTACATTGATCTTTTTTCTTACCATTAATTGTCATGGAGCATGAAGGCAATTGTGATAGATTAGATAAACAGTAGTTAGGTTCCTGCTTAAATGGGGTGTAAGGGCCCTGGATTTGCATTCCTAAAACTAGTTCACAGAGAATCAGTTTACTACAGACCAATGTTAAAAAGCCCTTAACAAATTACTACTTAGGATAGGCTGTTTCTATTAAGTAAGTTGTTTTAATCTTAAATATTTTAGAACATTAATAAAACAGTCCCTAGGTCATTAGTCATAGAAAGAGCATGTGACAACTTGGGCATTTCAAAGATAAAACAAATCCACACAGTTTTGATGGGTTTTTATTTCAAATCTGTTCTTATATTTATTCAGTTAATTATCAAAAATAACTAATAATTTAATAAAATAATAATAATTTATCAGTAATTTTGTTTTAATTTGTTATAAAACAAAATTTACATCATTAAGCATTGCCTATAGCTGCATAGTACAATTTGCGCAGTGGTTTTTGATAGGTGCTATTTACAAGATATAGTTAAAGAAAACCAATATAAAAAAAAATACGGATGATGAAATATTATACTAGTAATTTTGAGATAAAACATATTTGAAAAAAAAAAATATACATGTAAAAGGTTTTATTCCATGTATGAAGTGTCATGTTTGTACAATAATAATTTACAATAAATGTTGAGGATATTTTATCAACAGGTCTGATTCTGTGTATGAAGTGTTGTGTTTGTACAGTTATAATTTACAACTTAGTTATTTGTAAGTATAAATAATCGTAGGATCTTGTTAATGAGCAAAACTTGCGTAGAACTGAAAATATATTCAGTAACGTGACCAATAAATATATGGTCAAATTAATTCAAAGATTTCAATACTTTTGATATAGATGAATTTGATATGACCAGTTTCAAAACTTGTGCAAAAGTAATACAGTGTGCTCTGGATCAATGGGTAATTTCCTTAATGTGTGCAATTCTTTTATAGATAGTAGAAATATAAATTCCATTAAAAAGTGAGGGGTAAAAGCTGCAGGGATAATTACCATGGTTGTATATAAGATTTTGAGATTTTCAAAAGAGTTGGAGTGTCAAAAATATACATTCTAGCATATCTATCTACTTCCTATGCATATCTGTAGCAATAATTGTATAAAATATGGATAGTGCTTACTAGTTATTGACAAGAATCATTATTTTCCATACCTGTGGCAGCCATCTTGAAAATACTAGCCACTTAAAAAAAAAAGATGTGTCAATATTAGGTTTAGTCAGTAATTAGTGATCTACATATGTCCCAATTTTAAACAAAAACAGTGATCAGTTTGAGATTTAGAAACCAAACATCAGTAAAAGTCTGATTCCTGAGAACCCATGGCAGGCACTTTGAAAATGGTGACCACTTTCAGAACATTTAGTTGAGTCCATATTTGACATATAAGTAGTGTACTTGTTAAAGAGTATCTATTTTACAACAGTAGACGTGAACATGTTCCTTCAGCATATTAAAAGTTGAAACATAATAATCACAGTTATTAAGATTAAAAGCACCAATATGCTGGACTATTTATTATTAATTGATGTTTAAGTAGTGTACTTGTTAAAGAATATTCTATTTTACAACAGTGGACATGAACATGTTCCTTCAGCATATTAAAAGTTGAAACACAGTAGTCACAGTTAGTAAAATTAATAGTGTTGTTTATACTGTAACAACATTTTTGTAATTTAAAATGAAATTAAAAAGTGATTGGTATGCACTATTATAAGCAAATGGATAAACTGCCTTTGTTGTGTATGTATTGATAAAGAATCAGTAATTTGAGAATGACATTGACCAATCGTATTGAAAATTTGCAAGATGACACTTAAGCAATCTGTGACTCTTAACATATAGCTTGTTTTGTCTGTATCTATATAAATGTAATAGTACTGTGTGTTGTATATCTATTTAACTACTTTACAAAGTGTGGATGGAAGTTCATTAACTCTTTCAACCTGGGGTTGATCCCCATGACCAACCTCATAACCATTTTGTGCTTGTTATAGTTTTCATGCTATAACTTTTAAATTAGTAAGCAATTGTTAACAAAATTTGGCAGTTTATCAGTAAACATTACAATGCTTTTATCTGCAAAATATTTAATTTTTTTATTAAGTCTTAGGTTTGTAAAGCAATGTTTCTCTCGTGCCTTTTTTTTCTTTTCATGTCTTGCCTATCTATCATGCAAAGTAATTTTCATTTTAAGATTAATAATACTTTTATGCATTAGGAAATTTTGAAATTTCACAAGCAAAATCTTTATAATGTCCGGATAGTTATCAGACATTTCTTAAGAAGAAACTTTATATATTATCTGTTATTTTCAGTAATTAATCTCTGTACAGGTTGGGTAAATTTGACTGATCTCACAACCACCATAAAAAATTAGGAAATAAATATAAATTATGCCTCTAGCATTCTAGAATGAACACATATTATAACACAAAAACATAAATGTTTAAACCAAATAGCTTAAATCTCATAACATTATACATTTATATATATATTTATTATTTTTATTTTATTGACCTTTCACCCGTGCCTAGCTAACAATACAGAAGTTACACCAACATGACTCACGTGCACTCATGTTACCTTATCAAATAACATAAAGGTGACCTTTGGTCTGTACAAAGTAACTTGTCTTGGCTGTGTTTCAGTCGACTAGTATTTTGTAAAATACAGTCACATTTCAATTATTATACATTATATATGTATATAGATTATTGCGATTTTGAAATAACTTCTTAAACTTATTTTTTCTAAAACATAGAACAGTAAATAAAGAAGTAAAGCAAACAATTATCTCTTCTAATTACGACCTTTGTACTTGTTTGCTGCTTGATGTAGGCTGCTAAGCCTTTAAAAAATTTGCACGTGGAGGATATGAAACAAAATACTTTTTTTTAGGTTTTAATATATACTTTTGAATAACTAAAAAATCATAAATTACTACATCAATACCATAGAATTCTACTATAATTTATCAAACTTGGTAACTAAGCTATATTTGGGTTTGAAAAAATATGAAATTTTGAGCAGACTAAAGACACAAACTACTTCATTGAATCTTGATTTAAAAGAAAGAAATGATGCTAGGTACGTTAGAAAGGGTGAGAAAACCACTAGGGGACGTTCTGAGCATCCAATTGGTTATTCATGTCATATATAGAAGTAAGTGTATATAAGGGAGCGTTTCTGAAAATGGAAGGAGGTGAGCGTGGTAGCACTATGTTTGATTTATTATGTGAGCAATATCTTAACAAATTTAAAAAAGATATGATGTTCTTATTTTATATTCTAGCTTGTCAATATCTGTAATTTAAGTTTCTGATTTGTATGAAACTATAGACTTAGTATTTTGACTTCACAAACATCTAATTTGAACCAGTGCTCCATTTTTAATATTTACTTTTAAATCAACAAATTGAGTAATGTATAGTTCTAAAATTTGAATTTAATCTACAGTTGGATACCAACTTATTGATATAAATTCATGAAATAGTAGTTCAATAAAATTTTTAATGCAAGTCAACAAAGGAGATGACATGGCCTTTCACCTGTGACCTGTCTCGAAAGGATTGTCTCTGCAGGGGTACATACAAATTTTCAGTTTTGCAGTTTTTATGGGTGTTTTTGCATTTTGTACCACTATATTTCCCTCAGTTGATGGATGTTCACCAAATTTGGTATGAAGGTTTGTTGGGTCCATGCAGAGATACATGCAAATTTGCAGTTTCACATTTTGTGTTTAGAAGTTTTTATGGCCTTTTTTGTGTTTTTTACAATTATATGTAAAGGAAGCAACTTTTCTTGTCCTAAGATAACCTTTCATTAATCGTGTATTTACATAACTTCCATCCAGAGGATGGGTACTCCAGGTAGTTAAAAAATGTATGAATAATGTTTTGCAGTTTTACATTTTATTATAGGTAATGATACATTACAAACATACATCAAATGGTCAGGGGCTAACATATGTTGATCTGGGAAAAGTCATGGAATTTTATTCTGCTCAAGGTGTAGGAACCCTAAGATGGAGAGGTGATCAGATAAGTTTTAATGAAGAGCAGAAATGTGATAGCAAGAAAAGTCTCATTATCAAGTAAATTATTAATTAACACTTGAAATTTGGTAGGATGGAGTAATGATAAAAAAATTGCTAATCTACACTAGAAGTGTGATAGGATAAGTAAATAAATAAGCAAGATAAATCAGGCCAACCTCATCATCAAAATAATCATTATTCAACACCTGAAATCTGGTAGGATAAATACAGGATAAAGTAACTACTAATGAACGATATATATATATATATATATATAGTAGAATGAAACATGATCAAATAAGGTATTAATCAGCATTTTCATTTTTCATTCACTTACAGTTTTTAAAAATGTTTCTGAGTTCAAACAAATAGATGTTGACACCTTTTCCTTCTAACAAGGTTGTAAAGCTTATCCGTGCATCTC